ACATAATCGACCCACAGCGAAAACAATTTCGAACACAGAGGAAACATTTGAAGAGACTGGATCGGTTACTGATATTGTAAGGCCTGTGCATCATCGCAACATTCAACGCAACAAGCCGTTGATGATGATTTTTCGAACCGAATTTTCTTCAACGACGAGGCTCATTTTTCGCTCGGTGGTTGCGGGAATAAAGACAACAGCCGTATATGAGGCTCTCAACATCCTCAGATGATCGCAGAAAGGCCTTTGCATCTTGATTTTTCTGAAAACGATCAAGGCAGAGAGGCCAAAAGAGTCAATTCTGAGCGCTATGGACGCATGTTAACCGATTATTTTTGGAAACAAGTTGAAAATTATGATCTGGAAGACAAGTGGTTCACAACACTGGCAGTTAGAGCCTTTATTGCAAGAGAAATTTCCAGGATGCGTAATTTGGAGATTGAGTGATGTCAATTGGCCGGCAAGATCCTGCGACTTAACACCGTTAGATTTCTTCTTGTGGGGCTATGCGAAAGATCGTGTTTACGCCAACAATTCTCAAACTCTTGAGCAACTGAAAGCCAATATCCGTGAAGTTATGCGATATATTACCGGTAATGTGCCGAAAAGTCATTCAAAATTACCTCAAAAGGATTGAGGCCTGTAGGAGGTCCCGTGGAGGACATTTAAATTATATGGTTTTTCACGTATAATGTATTTCACATTTACTATCGTTAAACTGTCTTATAGGATTCCCACTTTGACTTTAACTGTCGATGTGGCCAATCCGACTGGTAGTCCTAACTTAGGAAACTTAGCAAAGTGAAAGACTGTGCGCAAGCGAGTCTGTCTTCATTGCTATTTGACAGTTTAACTTCCAAAAGTGTTGTACGAGCCTGCTTAGCTACAAATGAAATGTGGCGACCAAAGTAGGAAATATGCCGCAACTTCAGTGAAGAAATGGAAAAGTTTTGTGCCGGCATGCATCGAATCTCTAAATTCCAGCCAACTTTTGCATGAACCAACTTCGGCCGAAACGTACCCACTTTATTCTTCCACTTCTACCAGCGAGATGTCGCGATTACGTAACCAATTCAATTTGCACCCTGTCTAGGTCGACTGAAAAACGTGAACTTTTCACACAAACTGGCCGCCCCCAACATCCGAAGTTGCGGGAAATTAAGCGAAACTTTCGAATCATAAATCCGCTCTATCTCGTCTTTCGAGAAGCGGAAAAGTACGCAACGGAACCGGTGGCTGTTGGGGTCAGCGGTTTTTCAAACACCCCAACTTCACTTCGGACTTGCAAAATTGGGACAAACTGTTCACTCAACTTGGTTATTGTGTAATTGAGCTTGCCACCTAAGAAGCGCTGCCGCAACGAGCTCAACTTTGTATTAATCCTTCCGAGCCGGAAGAGTGAAATAGTGCATGCAAGCGGTTCTGGTTGAGGCGCGCTCAATTTGAGTTGACGCTGTTTGAGCGGACTTTTTCACTCAGCGCTCAGTTTAGGCAACTAACTTGGGTCAAAGCCATAAAGTATATTAGATTCGTGAAAATAATTGACTCTTTCCGGGGGATTTGATAACTAGTCTTAAAGCGTCAAGGCGTTTGGTGCCCCGGTTTTTCCCATTCCATTGGAAAAGTTTCGCCCACTCAATGGGAAATTGTTGTTGAAAAAACTGGTTTCTTCAGAAAAGGTTTGAGTTGGCAGTAAAACCTGTTTTAACTACCTACTTAAAGCAGGGGCGGGAGCAGCTTTAAATTCA